GGAGGGAGGAACTAAGATCACTGCTCATGAAAACAAAATGGCTGAGACTTTAACTGACTGAGATCCTAAATGGCTTAGACCCTAACAAGATGGCTGTTGCCTACAGCTTCTATGTCCCCATTGCACACCATCATTACAGTGACACTAATACAGTGAGTATAATGTAATATACACTGACACTACTAATGACACTGGCTGGGAAGTGGTTAACATCTTGGGGCAATCAAAGGGTTAACTGTGTGCCTAACAAGTGTAACGTGTGCTGCTTTTACTAAGCAATACTTGCTTTGCAGGGAGAAAAAAAAACAGTCACATCGCTACACTGATAGAGAGCCCTGTGTTGTTTACCAACACAGGGCTCTCTTCTGTCATTAACTCAGCTGATCAGCAGGTCCTGGACACAAATCATTGGCCCGGGACCCACTTATCCGTTTGTGCTGTAGTGAATGACAGCATACCCGGGGTGGCGGGCGCACGCCCCCTACCTGGAAATGCAGGATCACGGACATCTATGTAATTCCGCGCAGTGGGACCGCTCTGCCACAGTAAATCTGCAGTAGGCCCCATATGGAAGAAAAATATATTTTGAAATATATTTTAAAAATATTCTTCCCAAGTATATTGCCATATATTTGAAATGCTACAATTTTGGCCATATTAAACATATTTCAAAACATATTTCAAAACATATTTCATCTCTCTCTCTCTCTCTCTCTCTTTCTCTCCCGCATGTTGAAATTGTTGAAATGCAGTTCAAATATTCTGTATGTCTTTAAAAATACAAATCTACATTTTTGGAATGCATTTACAAATATATGTAAAAAGATATGTTAAAATTACTTTTTTATATGTTAAAAAAAAACTGAAGAATATATTTTAAAAATATATATTTTTAAAAGTATATATTTTTAAATATAGGCTTCAGATTTTTTTTTAACACATAAAAAAGTCATCTAAACATATCTTTTTACATATATTTGTAAATGCATTCCAAAAATGTAGATTTGTATTTTTAAAGACATACACTATATTTGAAATGTATTTTAAAAATATTTTTGTGTGTATGTATGTATGTGTATGTATATATGTGTGTGTATATATATATATATATATATATATATATATATATATATGTATATATATATATATATATATATATACATATATATATAAAATTTTAAATAGATTGAATAGAATACAGCCAAAATTGTAGTATTTCAAAGTAATGGCAATCTACTTGGGAAGAGTATTTTTAAAATATATTTCAAATATATTTTTCTTCCATGTGGGGCGGTCCCTAAGTGGATGGGTTGACAAATGCCAGGAAGATCTTCCAGTGAGCCCTTAAAACATCTTAGGGAACAGAATTCCAGCTTGAGTGATATTCTAGATATGAATGCTCAATAAGCCTCCATATACCATACATCACATACACTGTGTATGACCTGTAGGGAGAATTCAGACACACACAAGTGATCTTTAAAACATAATAAAAGATATTTATTTGGTACATCCACAGAATCTAAATTTGAAAATCTACAATCAGTTTACATTGAAGAACATTTGTGTGCATGCTATTCTATATAGAAGACAGAAGATTCCATATACAGTACCATTATACTGAACAAATCAATAGCTTAAATAGGAAATATCACTTTCTTATTCAGTTTTCAATGGGACAAACCACCTGTAGTACCTGATGCCACCTTCCTAAGTACTCTGTAATGCCACCTGTGATGTTGGACCGGGCAGATTGGCAAATGGCCACCCAACACTACAGCTGGCACACCTCTCCATTCCTCATGCCAGTGTTGTCTTGGGCAAGTGCTGGGAGCCGGAGATAGGCGCTTGCTTGCAAAGCACCCATCTTCTTGCTAGCTGCAGTACTGGGCGGCCATGTACCAAGGAGGGGCACCCAATCCAACATCACAGCTAATGTTCCAAGGAAGGAAGATGGCATTACTAGGAAGATGGCATACAGTACTACACATATTTTGTTCTATCGGGAACTGAATAATGTCCAAAAGTGATACTTCTTCTTTATTAAGTATATGGACATGCCGGGATAGCCCACTAGTAGCTCCTGGCATTCATCATCTCACCATCCTGTGTCTGAAATGAAATTCATTCTGCCTCCATCATTTGACATTAGGAGTTCTGAATGGTTGCAAGCCATGAATTAGACTGGTCCTATGGGGCAGCACAGTGGCTAAATGGTTAGCACTTCCACCTGGCAGTACTCGGGTCGTTGGCTCGAATCCCAACCACAGCACCTCCTGCCAGGAGTTTGCATGTTCTCCCTGTGCCTGCGTGGGTTTCCTCTGGGTACTCCAATTTCCTCCCACGCTCCAAAGACATGCTGGGAGGATAATTGCCTCCTGTCTAAATTGGCCCTAGTATGTGTATGTATGAATGTGAGTTAGGGACCTTAGATTGTACGCTCCTCAGGGGCGGGGACTGATGTGAATGTACAATATATATGTAAAGCTCTGCATAAAATGACAGCACTATATAAGTACCTGTAATAAATAAAGATTGGTTACTTGATAATATGCTACCATATCACACCCCTTTCATACAAAGTGTTAATATAGGTTAGGGGGCTCATTCACACAAGCAGGGCCTGGGACAAGGGGGGGAAGCTACACTAGGCACATTGGTATCATGTGAGGTGGGGGAAGGCACCACAAAAAGATTGGGGGAGGGTATTTGTTTTAAAATGGGGAATTTGGGGAGAATTGTTCTAGGAGGGGCAGATTTGGGGGGGGGGTTGTTTTAGGGAGAATGGGGGAAATTATTTTTTGTTAGGTGGGAGGATTTGGAGGGGTTTGTGCTAGAAGAGGTAATATAGTACAGGGGTGGGGGATTTATGCTAGGAGGGGAATTTTTTTTTGGGGGGGGGGGCAATTTTGCTAAGATGGGGGATTGGGGGAGTTTATATTTACTAAAATAATTGCATTACCATGTTCTGTGTACTGTGGGAGACCAGATATAGTAAACGCAGGGTCCAGGGAGACCAGATATAGTGAATGCAGGGTCCGGGGAGACCAGATATAGTGAATGCAGGGACCGGGGAGACCGGATATAGTGAATGCAGGGTCCGGGGAGACCGGATATAGTGAATGCGGGGTCCAGATAGAGCGGATATAGTGAATACAGGGTCCGGGAAGACCAGATATAGTGAATGCAGGGTCCGGGGAGACCGGATATAGTGAATGCAGGGTCCGGGGAGACCAGATATAGTGAATGCAGGGTCCGGGGAGAGCGGATATAGTGAATGCAGGGTCCGGGAAGACCAGATATAGTGAATGCAGGGTCCGGGGAGAGCTGATATAGTGAATGCAGGGTCCGGGGAGAGCTGATATAGTAAATGCAGGGTCCGGGGAGACCAGATATAGTGAATGCGGGGTTCGGGGAGACCGGATATAGTGAATGTGGGGTCCAGGGAGAGCGGATATAGTGAATACAGGGTCCGGGAAGAGCCAGATATAGTGAATGCAGGGTTCGGTAGACCGGATATAGTGAATGCAGGGTCCGGGGAGATCAGATATAGTGAATGCAGGGTCCGGGGAGAGCGGATATAGTGAATGCAGGGTCCGGGGAGAGCGGATATAGTGAATGCAGGGTCCGGGGAGACCAGATATAGTGAATGCAGGGTCCGGGGAGAGCTGATATAGTGAATGCAGGGTCCGGGGAGAGCTGATATAGTAAATGCAGGGTCCGGGGAGACCGGATATAGTGAATGCGGGGTCCGGGGAGACCGGATATAGTGAATGCAGGGTCCGGGGAGATCAGATATAGTGAATGCAGGGTCCGGGGAGAGCGGATATAGTGAATGCAGGGTCCGGGGAGAGAGGATATAGTGAATACGGGGTCTGGGGAGACCGGATATAGTGAATGCAGGGTCCGGGGAGACCAGATATAGTGAATTCAGGGTCCGGGAAGACCAGATATAGTGAATGCAGGGTCCGGGAGACCGGATATAGTGAATGCAGGGTCCGGGGAGATCAGATATAGTGAATGCAGGGTCCGGGGAGAGCGAATATAGTGAATGCAGGGTCCGGGGAGAGAGGATAGATATAGTGAATGCAGGGTCCGGGGAGATCAGATATAGTACAGAGTCCAGGGAGAGCAGATATAGTGAATGCAGGGTCCGGGGAGAGCGGATATAGTGAATGCAGGGTCCGGGGAGAGCGGATATAGTGAATGCAGGGTCCGGGGAGAGTGGATATAGTGAATGCAGGGTCCGGGGAGAACAGATATAGTGAATGCAGGGTCTGGGGAGAGTGGATATAGTGAATGCAGAGTCTGGGGAGAGCGGATATAGTGAATGCAGGGTCCAGGGAGACCAGATATAGTGAATGCAGGTTCCGGGGAGACCAGATATAGTGAATGCGGGGTCCGGGGAGAGCGGATATAGTGAATGCATGGTCTGGGGAAACCAGATATAGTGAATGCGGGGTCCGGGGAGAGCTGATATAGTGAATGCAGGGTCCGGGAGAGCTGATATAGTAAATGCAGGGTCCGGGGAGACCGGATATAGTGAATGCGGGGTCCGGGGAGACCGGATATAGTGAATGCAGGGTCCGGGAGATCAGATATAGTGAATGCAGGGTCCGGGGAGAGCGGATATAGTGAATGCAGGGTCCGGGGAGAGAGAGGATATAGTGAATGCAGGGTCCGGGGGAGAACAGATATAGTGAATGCAGGGTCTGGGGAGAGTGGATATAGTGAATGCAGAGTCTGGGGAGAGCGGATATAGTGAATGCAGGGTCCAGGGAGAGCGGATATAGTGAATGCAGGGTCCAGGGAGACCAGATATAGTGAATGCAGGGTCCGGGGAGAGCTGATATAGTGAATGCAGGGTCCGGGGAGAGCTGATATAGTAAATGCAGGGTCCGGGGAGACCGGATATAGTGAATGCGGGGTCCGGGGAGACCGGATATAGTGAATGCAGGGTCCGGGGAGATCAGATATAGTGAATGCAGGGTCCGGGGAGAGCGGATATAGTGAATGCAGGGTCCGGGGAGAGAGGATATAGTGAATGCGGGGTCTGGGGAGACCGGATATAGTGAATGCAGGGTCCGGGGAGACCAGATATAGTGAATGCAGGGTCCGGGGAGAGTGGATATAGTGAATGCAGGGTCCGGGGAGAGCAGATATAGTGAATGCAGGGTCCAGGGAGAGCGGATATAGTGAATGCAGGGTCCTGGGGAGACCGGATATAGTGAATGCAGGGTCCGGGGAGAGCGAATATAGTGAATGCAGGGTCCGGGGAGAGAGGATAGATATAGTGAATGCAGGGTCCGGGGAGATCAGATATAGTACAGAGTCCAGGGAGAGCAGATATAGTGAATGCAGGGTCCGGGGAGAGCGGATATAGTGAATGCAGGGTCCGGGGAGAGCGGATATAGTGAATGCAGGGTCCGGGGAGAGTGGATATAGTGAATGCAGGGTCCGGGGAGAACAGATATAGTGAATGCAGGGTCTGGGGAGAGTGGATATAGTGAATGCAAGTCTGGGGAGAGCGGATATAGTGAATGCAGGGTCCAGGGAGACCAGATATAGTGAATGCAGGTTCCGGGGAGACCAGATATAGTGAATGCGGGGTCCGGGGAGAGCGGATATAGTGAATGCAGGGTCTGGGGAAACCAGATATAGTGAATGCGGGGTCCGGGGAGAGCTGATATAGTGAATGCAGGGTCCGGGGAGAGCTGATATAGTAAATGCAGGGTCCGGGGAGACCGGATATAGTGAATGCGGGGTCCGGGGAGACCGGATATAGTGAATGCAGGGTCCGGGGAGATCAGATATAGTGAATGCAGGGTCCGGGGAGAGCGGATATAGTGAATGCAGGGTCCGGGGAGAGTGGATATAGTGAATGCAGGGTCCGGGGAGAACAGATATAGTGAATGCAGGGTCTGGGGAGAGTGGATATAGTGAATGCAGAGTCTGGGGAGAGCGGATATAGTGAATGCAGGGTCCAGGGAGACCAGATATAGTGAATGCAGGTTCCGGGGAGACCAGATATAGTGAATGCGGGGTCCGGGGAGAGCGGATATAGTGAATGCAGGGTCTGGGGAAACCAGATATAGTGAATGCGGGGTCCGGGGAGAGCTGATATGGTGAATGCAGGGTCCGGGGAGAGCTGATATAGTAAATGCAGGGTCCGGGGAGACCGGATATAGTGAATGCGGGGTCCGGGGAGAGCGGATATAGTGAATGCAGGGTCCGGGGAGATCAGATATAGTGAATGCAGGGTCCGGGGAGAGCGGATATAGTGAATGCAGGGTCCGGGGAGAGAGGATATAGTGAATGCGGGGTCTGGGGAGACCGGATATAGTGAATGCAGGGTCCGGGGAGACCAGATATAGTGAATTCAGGGTCCGGGAAGACCAGATATAAGTGAATGCAGGGTCCGGGAGACCGGATATAGTGAATGCAGGGTCCGGGGAGATCAGATATAGTGAATGCAGGGTCCGGGGAGAGCGAATATAGTGAATGCAGGGTCCGGGGAGATCAGATATAGTACAGAGTCGAGGGAGAGCAGATATAGTGAATGCAGGATCCGGGGAGAGCAGATATAGTGAATGCAGGGTCCGGGGAGAGCGAATATAGTGAATGCAGGGTCCGGGGAGAGCGGATATAGTGAATGCAGGGTCCGGGGAGAGTGGATATAGTGAATGCAGGGTCCGGGGAGAACAGATATAGTGAATGCAGGGTCTGGGGAGAGTGGATATAGTGAATGCAGAGTCTGGGGAGAGCGGATATAGTGAATGCAGGGTCCAGGGAGACCAGATATAGTGAATGCAGGGTCCGGGGAGACCAGATATAGTGAATGCGGGGTCCGGGGAGAGTGGATATAGTGAATGCAGGGTCCCGGGGAGAGTGGATATAGTGAATGCAGGGTCCGGGGAGAGCAGATATAGTGAATGCAGGGTCCAGGGAGAGCGGATATAGTGAATGCAGGGTCCTGGGAGACCGGATATAGTGAATTCAGGGTCCGGGGAGAGCAGATATAGTGAATGCAGGGTCCGGGGGAGAGAGCGGATATAGTGAATGCAGGGTCCGGGGAGAGCGGATATAGTGAATGCAGGGTCCGGGGAGACCGGATATAGTGAATGCAGGGTCCAGGGAGACCAGATATAGTGAATGCAGGGTCCGGGGAGAGCAGATATAGTGAATGCAGGGTCCGGGGTTTAGTAACACTTTAAATTCCCAAGGCCCAAGATCTAGATAGATACTAATCATAATCTAATTAAAACTAAATATTCTGTATATCATTTGATAAGGAAGATTTTTTATAAACTCCACCTTGCCATAGGTCTGTCCCCTCTCATGCCTAGCTATTTTTTATTGATAGAGATGTGCGGTTTGTTATTTGGAGATTCTGATGTATCTGAATTTCCAAATTACAGCAGTAACGAATTTCAACAAATCCAAAATAAATTACAACAAAACAACAAAATTAATTCATTTCATTCAGATGTTTGAAGCATCCAAATGAAACAAATGATCCGGCATCACCAGGTGACCCGTCTCTATGTGTACCTGTCACTGGGTGAGTGTCATTCCCCGAATGACCAGTAAACATGGAGGCGGGGTCACCCAGTGATGTCACCAGGTGACACCCCCCCCCCATGTTTACCTGCCATTCAGCGTGAGTCCTGGGGCAAGACACATCATGTTATTTGGGTTTAGGGGGGGGTTTCACGCAGGTCGGCGTTTTTTTAAAGGACTTGTCAAAAACTATTGTGTGTGTTTTTGCTAACTGAATGAGTAGGGGTACTATTTGCCTCATACTCATTCACATGGGGGGGCTGGAATCTTCCAAATTGTGATAAGCCCCCACCCGCAGACCCCCACAACCACAGGACCAAGGTTGTGGGGAAGAGGCCCTTTTCCCATCAACATGGAGACAAGGTGCTGTGGGGGAGGGGGGAGCCCCCTGCCCAAAGCACCCTCCGTGTTGAGGGCATGTGGCCTGGCATGGTTCGGGGGGTGCTCACTCGTCTCCCCCTTCGTGGCCTGCCGAGCTAGATGCCCAGTGAAGGATCTGGTATGAATTTTGGGGGGGACCCCATACCTTTTTTTGGTGTGGGGTTCACCTTAAAATCCATATCAGACCAGAAGGGCCTGGAATGGATTGGGAGGCTCTCCATGCTGTTTTTTTCTTTTTAATTTCTTAATCTAGCATTTGTTTTATTTACATTCTGCGGTGTATCCCACTGACAGCAGACGAATCATATTTGTATAGGGACGCGGCTGCCGCCCGCTTCTCAACAATCCCCTATTTTTCACAATGCATTTGGATTGATTCAATATTTTTGATTCAAATGTTAATACTTTCAGAAATTTCTAATACGTTCAAAAAAGAATCAACATAACTAAACTAAGCAAATTCCAAAAACTAATCATCTGAATTATTATTATACAGGATTTATTATTATTATGCGGGATCTGAATGAAACGATTGAAATCAAAGGAAATAGTGAAATAACAAATCTATCCAAAATCTATCCAAAACTAAACAAATGTAGTTACTGAGGCCGCCATATAAAGGTTTTCCCTAAGAACAAGTTTTTATTGGTTACTGAAAATATGTAAAGACAGTCAACCCATTAAAGAACTTTGGAAGCTGTGTCCAAAAAAGGCAGACAGAGGCTAAAGGCGTAGTTACCAGTATTGCCTGTGGCCTCTTTCCAGCTGATATTTTCCCCATTACTGACTTTCCATGCCTTGTTCTGCACTGTGTCTCTGTATGGAGGTGGCCATCTTGGTAGAGGCAGGGCTTTACTTCCTCATGTCAGAGTCTCCAGCAAGGAGAACAGTCAGTAGCACAGTAGTGACATCATCAAATCTCACTCCAAATCTCCTGATACTAGCAGAGGCAGCAGTGCCTTAGATCTCACACTGCAAATATACAGCTATGAGGCTGTAGGTACAGGAGTGCCTAGGCACACTCACATACAAGAAAGTGCACTGCTAATTTTAGAAGAAGTTTAAAAAAAATGTTTTTAGTGCACTGCTTAGGAACAGTAAACATTGCCGCTGACCTTTGCGCTGTTGTAGAGCTTCAGCCACCCCTGGAATTTTCAGCATACTTTAGAGCTGCAGTAACACACTAGTGAGGAAGCAGCCAGGGGGAGCCACAGCACACAGCATGGGGATGCAGAAATCAAAGACCTTCAGAGAGCAAAGACTGTCCACTGAGTTGCCTGTGTATTTCAACAGGTTGTCTTTATGTACTTCTTCTTTTTTTTGTGTGTTTTGGTGACAAGCACACCATAAGGAATTCAGAGATGCCCCAAAATTAAAATCACCTTTTCCGATTCTTAGGAGCATGTGCCATTTAATACTATTAAAGTTGGAAATTACAGTACATACAGTATGTGACCTGCTTTGTATGACATTTTAGGGTATGATTCTGACACAGCCACTTTTGGGCAAAGTAAAAGCAGCATGGAGGGGTTCAGTAAAGGTGGTGGTGAAGGTGTGGAGGTGTCTGATTGGATCACACAGTTGGTAGAAGGACAGACGGCCAACATCATAATCCAGAAAGATCCCCACAGTTTGTACAAGAGAGTTCAAAACAATGGTTTTATGTACATCATTATGACTAGCTATAAGCTCCCTGAAAAACTGTAAAGCCCATGACTTGTCATTGAAACCAATAGCCCATGACTTGTCATTGAAATCAACAGCCCTTGGCTTTGCAGTGAAACCAAAAGTGTCTTGCTTTTTATTGCATTCAATATACTGTGACTTGGTAACAATCTCAAAAGACATTTTAGACTTTTGACTAGGAGCAGCTACACCTATCAGCCATTCCTTTGCTCCACTCACATCCACCTCCCAGTAATGTTTCCCTGCCGAGAAGCTGCGTGTACTTAACACTTGAACCCCTTCAAGCATCTCTGGGCCAATCAGTTTCTTCAGGTTGGTGTCCATGTAGGTAGCAGATCTGAGATCCTGTGATACAGTAATGAAACGATTGGCTGTATTTTGATCCAGGAGGACATCTGAATTTTCGGTCACTAAGAACTTCTGGCTTTTCTTTTGTTGTTTTAAATTTTCAGTAAAAAGATGAAGTCCTCTGTTTAACACCAGTGAGATCATCACCTCATCCAAGCATCCAGCCTCACTCACATCACTGTTGATATCACCACTAAAACTTATTTTATCCTTTTGTAGTTTTGTCCTCAAGAAAGTCATTTGATCAGTAATATCAAGGAACTCTTCTATGTCATGAACTTTCCTGCACAGGTTGTCCTTCTGTACCTCTAGCTCCTTGACCAAATTCGAGACTGATTGGAAGATCTTGTCCTTCTGTCTGGAGACCTCAGTCAGGACTCTCTTCTCTTCATCATCTAGATGTTTCCTAATGTCTCTAAACAGCTCATTGACTCTCCTAGTGACTTCAGCTGCTTTTTTTCCTTCTTTCATGTCATGGTTTTTCAGATTTTGGATTCTCATCTCAATCTCCTGTCTATCATGGTTCAGTTTCACTCTATCGTCTTTGAGTTTTTCTTTCTTATTCTCATAGGCTTCCTTGAAAAGTGCCATCTTGTGCCCCACATGGTCTCCAGCCACCCAGCAGGACATACAGATACAAACATTATCTTTTGTGCAGTAATATTTTAGGATCTCCTTGTGTATGGGGCATTTTATGTTGGCAAAGGATGTGGTAGGTTCACTTAAAACATGATCCACTGATTTATTATGAGCCATCAGATGTTTCTCACACAAAGAGGTCTCACACTGTAGACATGTCTTGGATGCCAGTACAGGGGAGTCCACGCAGTATGTACAGAAGATCTTGGACTTCTCTGTTTTGGGTTGAGATCTGAATTTCTCTGTTTTGGGTTGAGGAGATCTGAATTCCCCCATGATATCATACAGCTTCCTCTTCTTTTCTGGTACAGGACGCTCCACATACTCCTCTCTACACTCCGGACAGAAATAAACTCCAGACGTCTCCTGTGTATCCAGAACAGTCACAATACAATCCCGGCAGAAGATGTGTCCACATCTCAGTGACACCGGTTCCGTGTAAAGGTTCAGGCAGATGGAACAGCTCAGCTCCTCTCCTAGAACAGCAGATGCCATTTTGCATATGAAGTAATGGAAACAGGTCTCCTCCTTTCTCTTAGTTTCTGGGATAAGAAACTAAACAAATGTTTCCTATCACTTAGTTAAGAAAACAGAAAATGAACTTTGCCTTCTACGCAAACAGTCAGAAGCTGCAACGCCCAGTATGTTATGGTCACCTATTGTTATCCATGGCATTGAGCCCTGAGCATTTGTTGTATGTGGGAAACCATTCAGTATGTGCAACAAATGTGTCTTCTTAAATCAGAGTTCCACTCAAAAATGGAAGCTCCGCTTAGCTGCCTCCTCCCCCCTCCACTGCCACATTTGACACCTTTTGGGGGGCACCTGGTCCTGACAAGGCTTCATTGAAGAATCGGCTCGGGGTGAGAACACCGCTGGATCCCTGGACAGGTAAGTGCCCTATTATTAAAAGTCAGCAGCTACAGTATTTGTAGCTGCTGCCTTTAGATTTTTGGGAGGGGAACTCCTCTTTAATCAAATTTCATGTATGAAAATAGTATTTTTAGGACATAAAAAAAGGACCTATTCACTTCTTAAAGCTTTTCTTGTTTCTTTTAGTTTCTAGCTTCTCCTATATGAAATGCCT